TTGATGTCCAAACAGCTTAAGTTGAAAACCTTCTGTACCCTACTGATAGCCTTCTCTTCATCGGCTTTTGAAGCAAAAAAGTTCACTCTTCATTGACTGCACTGTTGCAAAACCGTGACTTATACAGCGTATGAGTGCAACTTTCTGCCAACAGCAAGAACAATGGCAAAGGCTCAAATGATGTTGGTTCCAAATCCACATACCGTGCTGGTTAAAAATAGCAAACTGACCTATGAAAGCTCTAAAATTTCAATAAAAACAACTGAAGTGCAACTTCAAAAAAAGTGCTTCTATCAGTTGCTGCTGGAAAACACAAAAAATTGTAAATTGAGAGAGAAAGTACATCAAAATGGTAGATTTTTGAATGGTGATCAGCAGGCTCAAGAAGTTTCCAAAGTTCATGTTAGCAAAACCTGCTTCATCTTCCATAATAAGTAGATTTGAGGCCGTTCGTAAACGAAATGCTGAGCAAAACGCATCAATAAATCGATAAAGCCAATCAAAGATTTCGAGCGGTAACAGCTCAATAAGCGCCCACCCCAGAGTTTTAATCTGCGAAGTTTGGTCCAAACGCCTCAACTCTTGTTATCTTTAGGGCGATGTAAGAAGAAAGGTTAAGCCAAATATTATGAAAATATTGAGTATTGATAACTACTGAACGTGATCTTACATTTATACCTACCTTTCTGCTTCTCTTCTGGTTTCTCTTCTCGCACATTCTTTTCGTTTGGATTGCCAGTGCGTATAAAGTTTGCAAGAAACAAATCTAATTCACGCACGGCTATGGAAATGTGATAAGGGTTCACACAGACAGCGGGAAATACACACTCAGCACATTTCTCCAAACGTTCACTGTCTGTGCTTTCAAGTGGGATGCCCTGAAAAAAAAATTGATGGCTTCATAACTTCGTACTTAGGCCTCTTTCTTCGGACATCGACATATTTTCAACACCAAAGGCACATCTGGTTTAGAATGACCATCTTACCTTGAAAAGGATGACCATGACCAAATCTAACCGCCACACTTTATCGGCTTGCCTCAGACAATCGATACGTCGCATTTTTCCTTTTTGGTCCGGATTAGAAAGAACACATACAGCGGGCTGTTGGCCAGTCACCTAAAGAAATCGTTGCA